TTATGTTGCTCAACAACAGTCGTTGTTGTTGTTATTTCCGCTGCGAAACCGTTTACAGCACACATTTATGAGCGTATCTTAGCTGCATCTGAGGACCAGCCAACGGGCAAGAGGTAGCAGACACCAGGCAACAGGCCTCTAGTTGGCGTAATTAAAATTAATTTGAAACCTAAACGGTTAATTTAATAAAAACGCATTAGGCTAGGAAGTGGCTCTTTGAAATTATACACGTAGCCAAAGTTAATGATGTGAGCTGCAAACGTAGCCGTCTTTTATATTAATTATATTAATTAAAGATTGCAATCTGATAAACGCACAGCGTGTTACAGAAATAACATAGCAGAAAAGCAGAATGTTGAAGGTGGTTATCACATGAGAGAGAGAGTGGGCGTCAACTAACTGAATAGAGTCAAAAAGGCATTGTGTTAGCTACACACGTAATACGTAAAATATTAACATGCTAAGGGAACGAACTTTGTCTGAAACATTATATAAAAATAAAAGTAAATGAATACATCATAAGTATACATAATCGATAATCATCACACATTTAACGTACACTGTATTTATATATTTATCGTTAAGGGATTTCAAAACCAATTTTGTATGACTTAAGAAAAGCAAATAAAGTTTACGTTTACTTTAAACAAAGCCAATTCGTATAAATCTGTTTCGAAGCTTATCTAGTTAAGTTATAAAATAAAAAGATTTTTATTTTAAATCATTATTATTTTCGACGCCATCTGTAAATTGGCATAAAGTGAGAATGATCGCGACTATACTTGAAATCACTTTCTCAACCAAGCCACAAATCCCATTAAGCTGTCCCAGATCCAAGCGGTTATCTGAACTGCCAAAACTATTAACAACAGCTCGCCGCTGTGGGCCTGCCAATGTAGGTTGTTCGCACCGCCCCAGAGTTGGGCAGCGGGTCGGCTGAATTAACTGCGGCTCTGGGCGTTAAATACAGGCTGCAGTTTCTATAAATCAGGCATATTTCTCAACACCTTTTTTATATATATATATTTTTTTTCTGCTGAGCGGCGTTTCGAACCGCTCATTAAAAACCATTAAGCAGAATATTCAGCTGTGAAAAATTATGGCGTAAATGATACCCTAGCGCGAATAGAGCGCGACAATAAGCGATCGAGCGGGGGCAGGGTTTGCTATTACGGGGGCACGGGTACTGTTTGGGGGGAGGCAGGTCTGTGGCTGCGGCCTGGAGGCCGTTGCTGTTGAGGCCCCGAGTTGAGCTCGCAATTTACCTAAACGCGTCTCGAAGTTAACTCGGTTTCTGTGTCATTTTCTTGTCTGCAAGTCGAGTTGAGCGTCAAATAAATTTTCGTCTACGTAGAAACAACAGCGAAATGGAAAACAACAACAACTCCGACAACAACTACAACGAGAACTGCAAAAATATGTCTAAAACTATTCCCCATGCGGTTGTGTAGACGTTGCGTTCTTTGTGGCTTGTTTGTTGCGAACTTTTTTTTTGGTTTTTGGTTTTCGTTTCTTTTTGCAACGAACATTTGCAACAATTTGTTATTGGCCATTTAAGCCGTTTGTTGTTCTTGTTGTTTGTCGGTTTGCTGCCTGGTGTTGGCCATTGGCGCTGCGCACCAGAAATCTGTTGAGTGTTAATGACATTTTTATGTTTTAACGCTTGAAAAGCTGCACCACCGACTACCATTTGGTGGCCTGGCCCCGTCTTTGGCCTCTGTGCGGGCACTCAAATGGGAATGGGAAAGCAAGCCCAATTGAAATAGCCGCTTAGGCTCCAACTCTGGCTCTATCTCTTTAGGCCAGGGTTCTGGAAATGCTCCGTTTCTGTATGCTCTGACGTTTGAAATGTTGCAAATGTTGCGGGCTCGCTTGAGTTATTGACTGCTCGTGAATTGGAGGATGGAGGAAGCTGTATGTGTTACAAGGGAGAAATGGCAGGTGACTGTGGCTAATATGTGAAAGGTGGGGCAAAGGTTTATTGAGTTTTGGACAAGTGGATTTCGTTAAATTAAAAGTTTTCAGAAATACCTCAAGAAATTATGGAAAATCAAAGAAAAGGTACATCTTGTTACTCAAAGATAAAGAGTTGGAAAGTTAAAACCGACGATCGCATTTCTTTCCCCTCTAAGCATCGCCTTTCAATGTAATTACCTTGAATAAAAGTGAAAGAAAGAATTCGGGTGAGAATCGCATAGAAGAGCGGTTCACATTTAGAGGGTAGAGAGTATTTTCTGCTAAGGCCTGTTTCCTATCTCTCTTTGTCCTGCATTCTTCTCACTCGCAATTCCTGTCTCTCTCATTCTCTTTCTCTTTCTTTCCCTCTGGCTTCATGCCTTTGTCTCTCTCAATTTAATACAATTCACGGTCGAAACTTGTGTCAACATTAATTAATTTTCTGCGCATATTTGCAAAACTTTTGAGCAGCTAATTGGATTTTGGATGCAGCCAACAACAACAAAGTCAACTGAAACCCAGCAGCAAAAACCAAACACAAAGAAACTATAACAAATTCGCGTGCAACCGCGCACTAATAACTACAACTGAGACAACCCCCATTGGAGGACAACACAAAAAAAAGAAAAACATAAACAAAATAAAATAAAATAAAATAAATAATCCACAGCAAGTTTCCTGCAGCTCCTTAACGCCGTGGAGGCAAGTTTTTTAAGCGGCAAAAAAAGGAAATGCTCCTATTAAATGTGTTTTATTTGGTGTGTGCGTTGTGTGTGTGTGTGTGTGTGTATGCTGTGTGTGTCTGCTTGTTGTGCGCCCGCATTTCAGTTTTTTTTTTTTTGTTGTTGGGCATATTCCTTTGTTTCAGGCTTCACTGGTGCTGAAATTTCGCAAATGTTTTCTTTTGGCCATTTCGTTGGCGGCTTTGGCTGCCATTTTAATGATTTACGTCGCTTAAACGAATTTCATTTCGGGCAGGTGGCCCGGCTGCTGACGGCAGTCGCGGCAGGGGCAGGGGCAGTGGCAATGACTGTGGCAGCCGCCTGTCAGAACAACTGTTTGTTGACTTGCAGGCTACGCTGGCCCGGCTCGGTGCAGGCTCAAGTGCGTGTGTGGGTGGCCGCAGCCGGCACAGAATTTACCCAAGTGCAACGACTTCTCATGCGCTTCCTGTGTGACGCCACTTCCTGCCTTCCCGCTACTCTAACAATGCCAAAAAAAACCGGGCCCAAACTAATAACACTTAACTGCGCCAAGCCGAAAGCTAAGCGTTAATTATGGCAAACTTTTCCGTGCCGGCTAAAGTGTTTCCCATAAGACACACAAAAGCTGCCAGCTACTGAACTTTGGCTGCATTGCGGCCCCACCCATCCCCCCCGCCCAACCAGCGACTTTACAGACTCCTCCGGAGCAAATGCATGTCGCTACATATCAACAAAGGATGCAGTTGCCTAGCCTCGGCTAGGCTCCGGCATGGACTACACTCTTGTTGTTTTTTTCGTCTTTATTTTTTTTTCGTGTTGTTTTTTGTTGGTTTTGCAGTCAGTCAATGCACTCTCTATGACGACGTCGTCTGACTGCACAAAATGAAAAAGTTTCGAAATAAATGCTGAAATCCAAGGCCCAAAAGAAAAACTTGAAAAAAAAATAAACTGCAGCGGAAAGCTAAAAATAAACGACTAGCGCATGCTCTGTACTAAAATTCAACAAAAGTTTTAACTAGTTTTGGCTAGTTATAATAAGAAAAACTAAATTAATAGAGAAGATGTATTCAAAAGGTTGAAAGATAGCCTTGTCATAAATTATTTAAAAAATTAACTTAGTTAACGTATTCATTTTCTTAGAGTTTTTCCAAACCTTATCCTACACACAGTGTACAGGGTATAAGTGCAGCAGCCCACTCTTCAAACACAAAAAAAAAAATAGAAAGAGAGCTCGTTGCATTTTTGTAGAAGGCAAAAAAAAAATTATTAACGCCTGTTGGATATGCCACAGGACGATGTCTGCGCCGACGCCAGCTCCAGCTTCAGCATCGTTCCTGGCTCTGGCTACTGTGCACACACACTTTTCGTCATGTTGTTGTTGTTGTTGTCGTTGCATGTTTTATTTTTTGTTTTTGTTTTTTTTTTGGTGCATTTGCCTGCAGCAGCGCTTTGGTTGCGAAATGCATCTAGGCAAAAAACAACAGCAAACATGTCGCAGTCGCAGCCAGCGGCAGGAGGAGTTGGCGGAACGGAGTTCGGAGCTTGGGGTAGTAGGCGTAGCTACATGACTGGCAGTCGACGGGCAGCTGCTGCCCCTGCGTCCCCTGCCTGCCCCCTCCACAGTCATTAGGCGCTGTTGCACTTGGCTCCTGCTTGCACTTCAGCCTGCCAGCCAGTCGGATTTGGACCTGCATCCTGAGCAGGCTCGTCATTGCCGCCGTCGGCGGACGTTACGTGTCTCAGGCAGTTGCAAATTACGCTCTCAGACTCAATTGTCTTGCGCTTTGGAGACTTGCAGGCCCCCAAAAGCAAAAACAACAACAATGCCTGCATTTAACGCAATCTTTTGCTGGCTAGACAGACAGCCACAGACGGTCACAGACTTGGAGACCAGCTCCAACTCCGAATCAAATTGCATTGCAGACGTTCCCTCGAGGTGCTGGGGGCGTGGCGCGGTGCCAGAAGCGTCGCGTCATCGTCGCGACATGTACTTCAAAATTTTTGTATATGTTCATTAGAATGTGTTCGTGATGGTGCTTGAACGCCTTGAAGTAGGCAACACTTTTCGAGTGCTTGATTCCTGCTTTTTATTAATTTCACACAATTTTCGGTACAGTTGCGCATAAGCGATATTGACAGAGCATGCGGAAATATGCAAAAACATATGACATCAAAAATTCATTTTATTTTATTTAAGGTTTAAAATTTGAAGAGAAAAACAGCCCAAAAAAACTGATTTTACGTGTTAAATTCTCATGCATAAACCCAGAATACTGTAAAGCTATATTATTTTTATAAAATTAAACTAATACTTATATATTTTTGGTTTTGCTCTTTCAGAACTCGTTCATGTATTTATGAGGTACGTAAAAACCAAACCCGTCATTTGAATTTAATATGGTATGTAAAAAACCAATATTTAAAACTGTTCAGAGCTGAAAGCAGCTTACACTTTATGCCCAGTCAGAAACAACCTGCATATGAAATATCCAAAAAATAAATGGTAATAAAAAAATCAAATAAAATCATAAATGAATCTATTATGACAAGTGCGTGGGCTAGGCACAGCGTTTCAACTGCTGCTGGCTGTCCAAATTATGTGAAGTGTGTTTAAAACGGGTTCGGGAACTCATCAACATCACCATCATCATGTCAAACGGCAGCCGCAACAAACGACAAGAAAATGAAAAAAAAGAGCTAAAGATAAAATTAACAACAGACCCAAACAAAAGCGCCAAACATCAGCGAAAAGGGCCGGGCCCGAAGGTAGTTAAAACTATACAATGCTTCCCCAAAAGCGGCAGCTCTGTGTCTTATTAGAGAAATAAATGTGGCAGCAACGGCTGTGATTGACAACTATGTTGAAATATCAAATTAAAATTTCATAAATAGAGGTAAAATAAAAATTAAGCGGCTTTATAATAAGGTAATTGCCATGGCTATTAGGCAGGGGCGTGGATGTATAAGAAAAAAGCCGCTAGATCTTTGGCTTAGATTGAAGGTCAATGACAACACGTAATTGATTATTAACCGACAATATCCATAGACAAACCTCAGCTCGTAATGAAAAATTGAAAAAACATGTTTTAATTTCATGCTTAAGATATCGTATTAGTAGCGGAATTTTAATTGCCACTATCTATATGTATATATCTTAAACCAGCCTTGGCAACACACACAGCGCCGACCACAGCTCGTGAACTAGAAAAAAAACATAAACTGCAATATCTTTGGCTGGCCATACGAGTTCCTGCCCATATGACGTATATTGTTATTGGGAGTGCGCGCGCGCCCGCCTTATCGTAGGTGCCACATAAGTAACACTGCCGCCTGCAGGCCAAACAATTTTCACACCAATGCAGTATAATATATGTTTTGCTTTTCTTTTTGTGTTTTTACCAATTTACGTTTGGTAAAAACCAATCACTGGCTGCAATTTCCATTGGGTACGAAAAGGTGCTGCACTGGGAGCGTCGTTTCAGATCGCGGAAATTATTTGTTGATAATCTTCAAAGAACAAGTGTGGTCTAAGACAAGTGTGGGAGTTTAAGGTATAGACACCATTTGAATACTGCTAGGAAATAATTTGTCAAGAGCTTAAGCTTGAATCAAAGCATATTGCCTAAATCTTATGAATATTGTTTTCATCTATCATATGCCATTCTACAAGCTGTGAACTATTCGTAAAGGTGACTGCCAATTTAAAATATACGATCTAAAGTGAAAATCACATAAATTTAAAAATAAAACGAGAAAGTAAGGATACCGCAAAATTAATACCCTAGTAAACATTTGCAGATATGTGAGAATAGTGAAGCTCGTAAATTCTGATTTTATTTTAATTATTGAGAATATTGACCATATAAGAATAAACTTTTTATATGATAGTTTCTATGATAGCTAAATGATATAGTGGTCCGATGTTGATAAGATTCTACATATATACGAGAAGTATATTGAAACTAATAGATGTTGAAATTGATTAACATATCTTGATAAACAAAAAAGGTTTCCATACAATAAACCTACTATTTTACCGATCGTTCCAATGACAGGTATATGATATAGTGGTCCGATCAGAGAAGGCCAGCTCCGACATATGTACTAGAATATATTCTTAATGGGGCCAGAGATGTCTCCTTTTAAGCGTTACACATTGCATGTTCAAATTATAATACTCTCTACAAGGGCATACAAAATAACCCACATGTTTGAAAATGAAAACAAAATCACACTTTTATCAATCTTAACCAATCTTAACTTGTTCTATTCGATCTTGAGATAAAAACACATTCCATTGTGATTCGACTATCTTGTAAATCATAAATCTTAACACATAGACAAACAGTTATAATTAATGTTTCAGCGCACAGAATTCAATAATTAAGTGTCTCTCAGACAGGCGGCAAGTTTCTCAAATTTGTAGCTATACATATGGGCACCACCATTATTAATAGATTTTTTATTCAAATTATATCTATTTATTTCTTTATTTATTTATTTTATTTTTTTTTGTATATTTGTTTAGATAAGATGTGTTTGAATAGGCAACTATGTTAATGGAGTGGCTCTAGAGCTTAGCTATAATAGCAGCTGAGTTTGTTTATTCTCAAGTTTTCACTTGCTGACTTTACTTTTATGAAAATCTTTTATTATCTCAAACGTTAATTTGATATTTTTTTATGACTCATCTTTGAGTAGTACAGGAAATCGCGTGGCCGTAAATCAATAAATGTGGAAAATCTATTTAAAGTGCGATATCTACAGTTTACACATGTGCATATTCATAAGGCTGGCTGGTTGGGTTGAGAAGGTGCCTGCCCAGCTCGCTAGATGCCAGATAATTATCAGTTCCATTGCCGACCGCAAGCTGTGCAGAATTTTTAGTTTACGAGCATATAAATGTAATTGGATGCGCAAAAATAGTGGTAGATAGCCCAGACGAGTGTGTTTATAAATTTAACAGAGTCTCTGTCAGCTTTTGCCTGTCATTTTGTGTGCAGTTCCCCAGCAATTTGCAACGCCAGCAGCAGCAGCGGCTGGAGCAGTGCGCATGGGCAAAGGCAAAACGTGTCATCATCGATTACGCAGAGCCGGAGCAGGCAGCTTCTAGCTGCAGGCAGCACTCAGGAGCAGTAGCAGTAGGCAGAAGCAGAAGTAGCAGCAGCAGCAGCAGCAGTTGTCGGCTTGGACAAACAAGTTGGTGTTGTTCCTGCTTCTGCTGCTGCTATCGCTTTGTGTTATCGCTGCAGTAAGGATGATGACGCCGGCAATGGCAATCCCCCGGGCGCGTAACTCAAAGCGACAACACTTGACACTAATTAATACATACGCACCATGCACCATGCACGTTGAAAATTGCTGCTGCCGCTGCCGCTGCCTTGCCGTTTCCATGCCCAGCTGCCACCCACTCGGCATGTCGACGCGCTCGTCGCATTTCAATCAAGTCCACGTCAGTCAGTCAGTCAGTTCAGTCAGTCACCGTTGAGATTTAGTCGTGATAAAGTTGTATGAAAGTGTTGCAGTTTGCAACTTGCAGCTTGCCGCTTTAACACACACACACACACACTCAGTTGACTGCCTAACTGGCACAAGAGGGGTTGGCAGGGGAGCAACTACTGTTGTGTGCTATTGTGCCGGTCGCTGTTGATGCTTATCAGTGTGTCGCCTCCGTTAGCTTGGCTTAGTTTCAACACGCAGACAGGTTGGTTGATAACATGCATTTACCGTTGCATTTCCTTGGTACCAAAGTCGGAAAATTTGTCGTACATGTGCAACTTATAAATGCCAATAAAAGGGTGAATCATTTGTCTAGATTTTGCTTGATATTGAGTTGGAATTTCTACGGAATAATATATATGAAAATGTTTACATAATGCAACACTTCCGAAATATTTCAATAAATTTATTTATATTTTATCCCAAATCTTTTTACTTTGTATGTACTTAAGTTCCCAAATGAACTCTCAAATTGCGAAAATTTTATACCCACAGCGGAAATCAATAAATTGACAGGATATTGTGATTGCCAGTCAATAATTAGTTATAGAAATACAAAGTAAGCTTGCATAAATAATTATAATAAATGCCAATAAAACGCAAATCTGTCGTATTATGCGAAAATATGTAAATTTGATTTGGCCGGTTTTGGAATTTCCTCTGTAATTAGGCAGCATGCCGCATATTGTTTGACGCTCATTAAAAGTCAATTAAAAGGGTTCGTGACGTTCAGACGGCTTGAACATTTAGATATGTGCGGCTGGTCTGGTCAATCAGTCATATTCATATCCATATCAAAGCAAGCGAAACGTGGGTTCACACAATGATCGATGAAGTTGCTGGTTGGACTTTGACGCTTGTTGCCGAAATCGAAATCGAAAACGTAATCGGAAATGGAAATCGGTAACGAAGTTAAAGTTTTTCAATTGATAACAATGGCAACTGCGGTACAAAATGGCATTAATTTTCGGCTCTTTAAAGACAACTTTGACACCGAATGTTGAATAAACGCTTAATTAACACTCAATAGCGCGGCTAATGCCAATGGGGCCAGCGGGGCAATGGACAACGGCTGGAGGGACGCGGTAAATTGCGGCAATTGAAGGCGCGACGAATGCAACTCAAAAGACCCCCAACAACAACAACAACAGAAACGGCAACCAAAATAAAAATCAGCAGACAAAAATTAAAGTTTTAAAAGTAAACAACGCAAATTGACATTTTGCCTCTCGACAAGGCAGACAGCCAGAAAATGTTTGTGCAACGTGGGGCAAGCCCAGCAGGTCGCCAATCGAAAATGACAGTTGCAGTTATTTTTCTGCCTTTTTTTTTGTTATTTTATTTTATTTTGTTCGACAATCGGTTTGAAATCACACAAATCTCAGGCAAAGTCACTAAATGACTAACTTTGTTCGACGTTTTGGTGTTGCGGTGTTCGACATGCGGCATTGAATGTTGAATGTTGCATGTTGCATGTTTGACTATTGACTGTTGGACGTTGGCCAATTGGCCAAGGCGGAAAGTGAAAAGCTGCCATAAGCAAGCCGTTCGCGCAACACCTGAGGGCAAGGAGTTGCAGTTGCGTCATGCTGCAAGCAAAACAGCCGCTGCGGCAGCAACTGTTGCTGTCGCTGCCATTGCCGCTGCCATTGCCGCTGCTGCTGCTGCCTAGCGTGTATATGTGTGTGTGTGGGTGCACGAGCAATCGATGATCGCGTTGAAATCTGCTCGCATGTAACGTTTAAATTTGTTGAAATCAGCGTTGGAAAGTCTTCAGCTGTGGCAGGGGTAAGGCGAAGAGGCGGGGCGTAGCTGCTAAAGTTGCAAGTTGCCTGTTGCAAGTTGCCTGTTGCTAGTTGCCTG